TCTCAAAACAATTTGTACAATCAGCACCACACCATGGATTTTATGCAAAAGCCTGTAACTTACTCAAAATCTTTAGTTCACCTCTCAAAAATATGTGTCAATTAACATATCCGTCCCATCAGAATGAAAAGTCCTTGTGTCATTGCTCACAAACAATATAGGTAAAAAGCTTAGTCTTGTTGTCAATATAACACTGCACTCTGTTAGTATTACCTGATGTAAACTATGGCAACAGTTTGGATGGCAGTTACTATATTGAAATGCAGAAGGCTGTACTTTTTCTGCATGCCATATCCATTTCTAAAGTACAAATGTACACACTACTGTATGTGGGGTATTGATTGAAAGAGACTGGATAGGATTCACAGTACACTGTCATTGTGATATAGAAAAGAAAAATAAATATGCGTACAAAGGCGAAATACAAAATTAGAAAGGCAAACACAGGAAACCCACTGACAGCCATTGTAAGCCATGATTGACAACGGTGACAGTGATTTAACCAAGTACAACATCCTTGCTGATCCTGGAACAACATTCCTATCAACCAATCAGAATTGAGGGATAACTTTTCAGGAAATATCTGTTTTAGGGTTACAATCAGGGTTAGGTGCTTCTACACCCTTGTTAATCATCAGCTATCATTTCACACTGTTTTTAGGAATAAATTATGGGTAGGGTAATGTTTAGAGGTAGGGATTGGGTTAAATCTATATTTTTGGACAGTTATGTTGATCCAGGATCAACAAAAGAAAACATGTCTTACTTGGCAAAATCACGGTGACTGATTGACAACATGGTCCACAATAGCGGCCCTTATTTCATCTGATATGCACCTACACTCTTAAAAATAAAGGTTCTTCACGATGCCATAGAAGAACCTTTTTGTCTAATGGTTCCATAAAGAACCTTTAACATCTGAAGAACCTTTCTGTTTCACAAAAGCTTCTTTGTGGCGAAATAAGGTTCTTCAGATTATTAAAGTTAAGAAAGAGATGGTTCTTTAAAGAACCTTTGACTGAATGGTTCTTTGTGTATGAAATAATCTTGTGTATTCAAGTTTTGAGTTTATAGACTGTACATTTGTAAATCCCATTTTAATTGTATTATTTGTGGTGTCAATACCTTTGATTGGATGAACACAATAGCAAGTTATAACATTTTGATTAAAAAGTAAAAAAAAAACAAAAAAACATTCAGGATTAAGAGTGATAACTATAACTAGTGTCCACACCAATACACAATAATTTTCAGTTTATTATAAGTGTGTGCTGCAGTTATGTCATATGCTGTGGATGGATTCTGGCTGTCAATGTTTTTTATCGTTCATAAGCTAAAAAAAAAAAACTTTAAGTGATTAGAATTACAGTTTTTCTCAGTTGATTTGGTGCATTTCTTGAATCATCCTTAATATTCGCAAAGAAGTATGTGCATTTCTCAAAACAATTTGTACAATCAGCACCACACCATGGATTTTATGCAAAAGCCTGTAACTTACTCAAAATCTTTAGTTCACCTCTCAAAAATATGTGTCAATTAACATATCCGTCCCATCAGAATGAAAAGTCCTTGTGTCATTGCTCACAAACAATATAGGTAAAAAGCTTAGTCTTGTTGTCAATATAACACTGCACTCTGTTAGTATTACCTGATGTAAACTATGGCAACAGTTTGGATGGCAGTTACTATATTGAAATGCAGAAGGCTGTACTTTTTCTGCATGCCATATCCATTTCTAAAGTACAAATGTACACACTACTGTATGTGGGGTATTGATTGAAAGAGACTGGATAGGATTCACAGTACACTGTCATTGTGATATAGAAAAGAAAAATAAATATGCGTACAAAGGCGAAATACAAAATTAGAAAGGCAAACACAGGAAACCCACTGACAGCCATTGTAAGCCATGATTGACAACGGTGACAGTGATTTAACCAAGTACAACATCCTTGCTGATCCTGGAACAACATTCCTATCAACCAATCAGAATTGAGGGATAACTTTTCAGGAAATATCTGTTTTAGGGTTACAATCAGGGTTAGGTGCTTCTACACCCTTGTTAATCATCAGCTATCATTTCACACTGTTTTTAGGAATAAATTATGGGTAGGGTAATGTTTAGAGGTAGGGATTTGGTTAAGTCTATATTTTTGGACAGTTATGTTGATCCAGGATCAACAAAAGAAAACATGTCTTACTTGGCAAAATCACGGTGACTGATTGACAACATGGTCCACAATAGCGGCCCTTATTTCATCTGATATGCACCTACACTCTTAAAAATAAAGGTTCTTCACGATGCCATAGAAGAACCTTTTTGTCTAATGGTTCCATAAAGAACCTTTAACATCTGAAGAACCTTTCTGTTTCACAAAAGCTTCTTTGTGGCGAAATAAGGTTCTTCAGATTATTAAAGTTAAGAAAGAGATGGTTCTTTAAAGAACCTTTGACTGAATGGTTCTTTGTGGAGCCAAAAATGGCTCTTTTGAAGCACCTTTATTTTTAATAGTGTACGTCCTTGGCCTCTTCTGCCTTTTCCTCTGCTTTGCCTCTGTACCCTTCTACCATGGATCCTTACTCCTATTCCTCCTCTCAGCTGTTGATCCTGATCATTTCCTGGATGTTCATCCATTGTCAGAATTTGTAACTCTTGTGTTGTCCTCTGTCTATGTGCTTTCCAATTGAAGGTCCATGAGATGCACCTTTGAGCCATTTCAAAGAACTGGTTTATAATTGGTGGATCTCCATTCTCTTCATTAGTGAAAGTCAAGATTCACTTCCACAATGCATGGCAAATTTACAAAAAGTCTAATAGAAATGTGTAGAAAATATGCTTGACAGTTTATGACAACTAGATCAACCATTTTGCATTTAATTGCTTATATGATGAACTAATGACTAGATGTTTTGAGGGGTAAGACTATTGCAAAGAGAACTATATAATACATTTTGAGCAACATGACATTAGCAACTGATAAAGTAGGAAACCACAGACAAATATACATAATCATTTGCATGAATGTACCAAAGCAATCGCAACTTGTTCAAAAGAATGAGAAACTTTTATGATAGATAGAGCTTTTATGATGTGCACAAGTGACTATAGATGATGTAGAGGTTGAACAAGCAGTTCTAAGAATTTAATTTCTGATCTAAGAAATGCACCAAAGCGACTGAGAAAAACGCCGTTATCCTTGTTGTGGTGTGTGAATTATTCAAAAATAAAGTTATAGTGATCGTTATATTTATCATTCTTTGTGTAAACAGCCTTAAGATCAATAAAATGTGTTTAAGATTAGAAAGAGTGAATTTTCCTTTCATGCTGACTTCAATTTTTGTGACATTAAATGACTTAAAAAATAATGCACATGAAGCATATAGATTTCCCGGAGGTTTAAAAAAAAAAGAAAAGACATCCCAGGGTGAAGCGCATTGTGAACAGCCTACAGTAGTAGGCTATTAACATATATTTTTTTAACCAATTATGTCAAACTCACAGTGCTGTTGTTTCTCATCTATGCCAGCCCTGCTGAAACTGAAGGCAATAAATGGACGGTGCGCCAATGAGACCAGGTCCGTTAGGGCAGCATGTCTTCCCACCGATTCATTCCCTGATGAAACAATGTGCACCATATCAGGCTATGGAACCACTGAGAAAGGTGTGGTTTCCACATTCAATTTTCACTGTAGACATTCACCATAGCAACACCTGCCTCTGGGAAGATCTGTCATCTATTACTCTTTCTTCCAGAGCATGCTGTCTCTCCTCAGCTGCTGGATGCCAAAGTTCTCTTAATCTCTCAGAAGCGTTGCATGTCTCGTAACGTCTACGGGAACAGACTGGATGATTCCATGATGTGTGCTGGATATATGCAGGGAAAGACTGACTCTTGTCAGGTGTGTTCCAGTCTCAAATTAGTTTTTGTCTTTCAGTGAAATTTCTATTAATATACATCAAACACAAAATCTTATTTAAAATGATTGTGCAAACTGATGGCGCAGTACGCAATTTTTTAAATTATTTTCACATATTATAGGGTGACTCTGGTGGACCCCTGGTTTGTCAGAAGTACGAGACTTGTTACATCTATGGTGTGGTGAGTTGGGGGGACAGCTGTGGCAAGAAGAACAAGCCCGGTATCTATGCCCGTGTCACAAAGTTCATTGACTGGATCCATGAAAAGATGCGTGCAGCTTAGGATGGCTACTCAAAAGGTTTGAGTTCAATGATAGTTAATATCATAATCTAATCGCTGAAGGAGGTTTTACCGGATAAAAACAATATTCAATGCATGCATGTACCTATGTGTATATATATATATATATATATATAATCAGGCAGAAAATACCAATTCAAAATAGTTTCTTGGATGATTAGCCCTTCAACAATGTCACTTTTGTGATTCATGTTCATATTAAGGTCACAATGAAATGGAAGTAGTGACATTTTTCCTGTAGAGTGTAACGGACAGCCACACACACACACACACAAAAAAAAAAAAAAAAAAGTAGGATGGGGCTTGGTTCTAGGCATTGGATCTTGGTATGCTTGCTGGGGCAGTTTAAGCAGACTAAATGACTGGGGAAAAAAAATAAAAAAGACAGATAAACTAACAGTATGATCTATGTGCACTTAGGAAAAACATAGGGTGAAACTAACTTCGTACCAACTTTATTAGCTCATTACGAATTTATTTTGCCTTTTGTTTTAAGACTCCAGTAACATTTTTCAAAGTCAATCATGTTTGTACACATCCAAGTAAAAATGTTTAGGAAGTCTTGATGACAAATTTACTTTGGAATAAAACTTCAGATTTTAAAGTCTCACCAAAAGCCATTGAGTATGAATCCATGAATGATGTCACACATGATACCAATACTTTGTATCAACGCACAATTTATTTCCAGTTAATGAGTTTAATTTGCTTCTTTAACACCAAACATAAGAGACACTGAAAAAACTAGTAAAAATTAGGTATACATCAAATCAGCCATGCTCAGAGAAAGAAAACCTTTTATTATTCACATGGAAATTATGACCAAGTGAGCATGTCACAAATGATAGAACTCTTCCGGAGATGTGAAATAAGCTCAGATATCTGCCTTATAATAGGTTTTCACAAAAGGACTTGCACAGGATCTTTCTGCAAAAAGAATAAACGCTGCAGCCAAAATTGAAAGAAAATCAAATCAAGGCGTTACACAGGAGCAATCAGGAGAATACTGGAAACAGCCAAGCACTCTGCACCGCAACACGCCACCTTAACAGCTAACCAGCAAAACTCAACTGCTACGCAACTGCGCCTAGTGCATAGAAAATACACAGGAGAGAATATTAGAATCATGTTGTTGTGAAATTTTTCCATTTAAACCATAACACCTGCTCAGTTCGCAAGCTTTGATGTAATGGTTTTACATAAAGGTTTTTTTTTTAGTGGCCAAATTTCAGTCTCTACCCAGTCCTTTAAGGTTAAAGAAATATTCACAACATCCAAAATTGTCCATTAATAAGCGTTTATTAAGAACAAAAAACTCATTAAAATGAACTTACTTTAGTCTGGGAGTTTCAAAAAAACAAAAAACAAACTACCAAAAATGAAGAGAAGCGATTTCACCTAGTAGCCCAATTTAGGCATAAAGATCATTTAATATCCATGAAATTCAAATGTATGAGACAAAAACAATTGTGGGCAACAGAAACAACAACAAGTAGTCATTTAAAAGATTTAGACCAAATTACAATAACCTTTCGGTTTGATATATGGATAATTTGGGTATCCTCAGATGGACATCTGTTCGGTGCGATCCTCGAAGATTCTACCAGCTGACATCATCTAGAAGAAAAGAAGTAGTAAGTTAGTTTCAAGGAGCAAAGCAGAGGGGGTTCTACAGGAACCGTCATAAAATGAGGCATTGCATATTACGCAACGCTCGATAACTGGTCCTCAGTTATACAGAACAAACAGGCACGCTTTCCACACATAATGAGAAACTTGCCATATTTTAAATTAATCTATGGACCTCATTTTTGTTCTGCAAGAAACCTCATGTACCTCATGTTTGTTCTGCGAGAAACCTCATGGGTTGAGAGCCAACAAACCTGAGGGTGAAATTAATTTCTCATAGCCACTTTAAGTGTCGGCAAGCTGAGGTATACTTTATTGGCAGTTAGAACAAACTAATTACTCAAAGTACTAAATTATAGGCCTGTTTAAAATCAGATACCCAGCAGCCTGACAGCTTAAACTAGCTCCAAGAACACACCCCATATCCATACCGCTTTTGCCTATGCCACGATAGACATGAGTTTGTGACAAGGATGATGAAAAGGTCTCAGTCCATTGTCCTGCAGACGTACCTCAACACCACCTCAACACTCAATGAGACCGACCTGCTCCATAGCAACCGCCAATCAGCAGCAGGCAGCCAATGGTCGGATCACACACTAACTGCTCTCAAACTGCCCCAAACTCCTCTTTTGCAAACAGGAATCAGCAGCTTGGAGGAAAAAATTCCACATTTAGATGAAATCAATGGATTTTGGCTGGTACACGTTTCAAAACAAACATACTTACGGTATTATACCCACGACAGCTCCAAATCAAACATCCATTGTCAGGTTTAGGATGTGAATTAAAAATAAACCCTTAAAACTCATGCAGAAACGGGAGAAACCAGACAAATGCTGTGAATAACAGCTCCAAACTAAACTTGGGTAATACCTGAAACCTCCTTTAAGATAATGCATCTACCGATCTACTACATCTGCAGAGGTCTTGAAGGACTTGGTGAAAGAGAAAAGTAGAGGGGCGAAACATTAAATATAATTTTAAGCAGCCATTTTAAGTGAGCAGTGAGCCACGTATGTATTCACTTTACACCACTTTGGGCATGAGTTATAATGGGGTCATTCACTGGTCTGCTTTAATCAAAATTCTAATGAAATCAAAAGTTCATGACTAACAGGGATATTACCTAATAATAATAATATATATAAAAAAAAGATGCACTTGTAATTACAATTCTTCGCTGAACATACAAATTCCACCAGTTGCAAGAAAATTAGGAATACATTTTCAAACAAAGCATTAGGCTCACCTATGTTTCAGCTCAGGATTCAGCAGTGGCTCCAGTATCCTCTGGAGATTTGGGTCTGCTTCTCGATCTGGATCGTGATTTGGATCCTTTGTTTGATCTGGGAGTATGGCTCCTGGAGCGAGACTTGGACTTAGACCTTGAATGGGACCTGGAAGCCGATTTGGACTTGCTTCTGCGTGGTGTGCGGGTTTTGGAGCGGGAACGGGACTTAGATCGGGAACGGGAGTAGGACCTGGATCGGCTGTAGCGGGATCTGCTACGGGAACGGGACCGGCTTCTGCTCCTGGATCTAGACCTGCTGTGCCTCTTGCGCCGAGGACTACGGCTAAAAACAAATATTACATGAACAAATTAGTATGAGGATTAGGGGTGCACAATTAATCAAATTTCTAATCGCGATTACAATTATGGATGCCACAATTACGTAATCGTTCAAAGTCTACTTATGTAATTCTGCGTGCTTAAGATGTGCTTTCTTATTTCTACATGTTATCTTAAGGGGTTTTCCCATTATTTTAATTTTAGAACAACAATATAATACCATTCATATTTTTATAATTTAAAGAAAACAATCAATGTATATTTGACATTTGAGGCTTAATACTATAGAAAAACACTAAGTTTTTCAGTTAGTGTTTTTAGCTTGTTAATTTTCCAATAAAAATATGGCATGCAGTTTGCTTCAAACAATGGTATAAACATAATTCAATGTAAATTGTGATAATCGTAATTAATAAATCGCAATTACAATTTCAAGGGAATAATCGACAATTATGATTTTTGTCAATCGTGCAGCCCTAATGAGGATTGTTTGCACAAAGCAAGCAGCACTTGGGTGTTACAGTATTACAAAACACCAAACAATCTTTATAATTAAAAGGTAAGTATCTTATATACGTTGAAATGTGAACGTACACAAGAACGCCTCTGTTTGCATGTACATCCAAGGTTTATTGTCTTCACCAAAACTAGTAATTCAAGCATTCAAACCACAAAAACTTGTAGCACAATGACGGAGAGCTTGATTCATTTCCAAGAATCGATTCTTTCGAATAATTAGGTAAAAAAAAAAAACTTATACGAATTTAAATGTTACGTTATCACGTGGCCTTCAAATATTTTTATTATTAAATTACTATTATATTAAAGAGAGAATACTGTAATAAAACCGCTCGGAATGGGTTTGGTTTTCAAACTCAAACGTTGCAATCGATTCAAAAGAATCGACTCAAAAGAACCATTCGATCACGAATTGCTACTTTGGTTCGTTCACAAAGTTGAGCAATTGTTTGGTACTACGCCACAAATACGACGGAATGATACTAATACTTTAAAACCTGGAAACGGTTTGAAACGAACTCAATGAATTAACCCGTTACGGCGATAAAACATGGCATTTATAAGCAAACCAAGGATTTTAGCACGTGTGGTTTTGCTACCTTGAGGGCCTCAAATTTACGGGCCTCGGATGTGAACGTTGAACGGTAACTTACAGTGGTTTAAAACGAAAATATGAAAAGAGATTGCGTATGTGGGCCTTACCTTCGGCTTCTCCGTCCATGTCCTCCGTATCTCCTCGGCGGGCCTCCGCGGCGGCTGTAATGCGAATCTGGCGGGCGCCCGTATCGCGCCATCTGCACGCGCAGTTCGCGGCCGTCCAGCAGCGCGCCGTCCATGGCGTCCATTGCATCCTCCGCGTCCCGCTTATCATGAAAACGGACAAAGGCGAACCCGCGGCTCTCTTTTGTGTACCGGTCTCTCGGGATATAGACGTCTCCGACTCGGCCGTATTTCTCGAAAACCCGCCGCAGCGTTTCAGGGGACGTGCGGTACGTCAGATTGTCGACTTTTAACGATGTCATGCCCTCGACGTCGGGCGGAGGTCTGCCGTAACTCATCTTGAATCACTAACCCTACTGCAGTATGTTCTGCGAAAAATAAATGAGCTACTTGCGAGATTTTCAGGAAAAATATCGAACCATTCGAGAGCGTCCAAAGAAACACTCAGAGAGCAGATAACGCTCTAAAATGGCGGCAACCGGATGTTCGTGGTCGGTGGAGGTTGGCTTTTATTTTCTTTGCAAGGAGAGAAAATACCATAGACTGTATTGAAAATACTGCCACCTCTGGTATCTAAGTGACACTACAGGTTACCTGATCTCACAATCTCCTCTTGACTGGGAACAGAGACTCGCTAATTTAGCAGGAGTTTGAACAAAATGTAACAAACTAGATCATTTATTTGACGTCGCCATGCTCATTTAATCCGAGTTTCCACAACTGAATCCAAATTTAAGTAAGAACTAACTATATATATATATATATGTATTGTATAGTATATAAATTGATAACTGATATAAATGATCAAATAAATAATATAAACGATTTATTGATAATGATAATAAAACAAAATGAAGAAACCAAAGAAAATAAAACAGCACAGTTGCTCTCTTGAAGCAACACACACGCAGGCTGCTACTGAACTTGTCTGTGAAACGTTTTTTACACAGTGACAAATGCGAATAATATAAAAAATCATACATTTCAATTTAAATTAAAACAGAGCTAAGTGACACTAGGGCCACTGAATGAACACCAGTTGAGGTTCCCTTACTGCACTGCAGTGAATCACATCCAAAGGTCACGTTTGGCGAGGCAGGATGTGTTTGTAGGCTACTGCGCAAAAACCTCACGTCTGGATTTAAGCCTGACGTCAGGGCTGGCCAATAGCGCTTCTGAGGACAGTAACTGTCGTGTAACACAGCACTGATCACTGAGCAGCAAACCTTACCAGCTGAGATGGTTTTCTGCAGAGACATAATGTTTACTTCCAGCAGGGGGCGCCTGGCGGCTCAGAGAGCTTAATACTCCATTGAGCTACATTCAAATCTCAGTAGGCCTACGTTTTTTTCCTACTCAGTAGGCCTACGTTTTACTTTTTATATGTATTAATTAAAAGGATTGCTGCATAATATATAAATGCAAATCCGTCAAAGCAATCGCTATAAAACGATTTTTAAAAATCCTTATCTTCTACCCGCAACCCTCTGTGATTGGTTTATCCTCATCAGCGCAAAGAAAAGTAACAGGTAACGTGCATTTGCCACCGCAGCAGTCGCCTTTACTATAGTAAACCTGTTAACAGTTGACAGAAAACTACTGAAAAAAGTGGGTGTATGTGATGATAAATGATTAATATTAAAAGGAATGTTTAATATACATTAAAGTTATATTTAGTAAAATGGGGTTCATTATATACAGTGAAAGAGCATTATGTTTTAACGCATATAGGCTAATTATATATTAATTAGCCGCAACATCCGGGCCCCTAAGCCCCGCCCCAGTGGGCGCTGGTTAATGCCACTGCCATTCTATCCTCGCATTCTGTTTCTACATCACGGAGACGCATCTGCGTCCCATCGCTCTAGCGCTCGGAGAGCAGAGGGTACAGGGATGGTGATGATAAACATACCGAGAAACTGTGTCATATAGAGAGCACCTCACTCCGCTTTGCAACTTAGCCAAGGATGCCGACCACTGAGGCAGAGGCAGCCTTATAATAGGGCTACAGCAAAAAGCAGCTTGTGTCTGCAGACAAAACAACGAGGGACTCTGTGCGGAGCTTACAGGGCATTAAGAGCATCAACTAATCCTGTGCATGGCCAAAAATATATAAAACGCAGAGACTTTTGCGTGAAGAAGAAGACGCAGCAGCAGTAGGACTGCAATCATTCAGTGTTATTTAATTTTTTAGCTATTGGAAATGGGAGCTTTGACAAGCCGTCAGAATGCAGGAGTGGAGGAGGTTGATATAGCATCCAATTCTGTTTACAGATACCCACCCAAATCCGGTAAGAATTATATTATATTATAATAATAAAATATTGTTCTTGTTACTTTGATATTATATTAACAAAAATCTATCTAAAGAAATAATAGATATGTATACAAGCTTGTTCAGATTGTATACTCTTATAATTATTGGGGAAAAAACGTGTACACATTTACAATAAAATTGGCTTGTACATTAGTTAAGTATTTTTCTTGCTTCTTCTTGTAATTGAAATTGAGAAGGTCCTTCTGTACATTTGAACTCCAGAGGGCCTGAGCCACCACCCACTGTTTCCTGGTTCAGCAAGTCTGTCTCTGAGAGGCACAGTAGGCCCATAGATGCTGTCTTCATATTGATATGGGGCCCATTATTCCAGTGGTGTCGTGTCTACAGTCTACTGAAATACACTTTAATTAGAGTAAATGTCTTGGATGATTTTGTACTCAGCATTAAACTGATCTAAAATAAGAGTGTCCATTGTATGTAACAGGAATTTATTGTGACCATGTGGTTTACATGGATGCTGCTAACTTAATTTACTATGTACATTTTTCCTGTATTTTTAGAAAGTAGTTTTGTAATGATTGTTTTACAAATCTTTGGAAATTTGAGAAGACATGTAGATGAGAAGATGAATGTCAGTGTGTTAACCACAAGTAACCAGATATGTGCAGCTTGGGACTTGTGCCTGATTCTTGCTACCTCGTGCTCCACTTTCAAGCTTGTTCATCTATCTACCCTTGTCTTCCCATGGCAGTTGCTATCCTCTGTCTGCCCTTGAGCTTGTCTTTCTTAAATCTATTGGTTTTCCAGTCTGCAAGATCTGTCTTCATTTTCATTTGGAAACCTTTCATTTATCTTGAGCCTAAACATCACTTTGGAGGAATGGAGGTTTTTGCATCTATATATTCTTTTTTTTTTACACCATTTAAAAAGTGTGCTATTTCTACCTGATCTGACATTAAAATTACTTGGTGTAATTCAGTTGAAATAATGAAATACAATTTTTTAATACTTAAAACCAGTTCATTTGTTTTTACCACATGATGTAACCATCAAGCATATTTTGAATTTTGAAAAATTCAAATCATGAACTCTGTGGAACACTCTACATGTGACTAGATAGGTGTGTGTGACAAATACATTTTGAATTGTTCAATATCTGTAACATTTGATTTGTTCATTGTCATGCAGGGAGTTATTTTGCTAACCATTTTATAATGGGAGGAGAGAAGTTTGACTCAACTCATCCTGAAGGCTTCCTCTTTGGTGAAAATACTGACCTCAACTTCCTAGGCAACAGACCAGTAGTGGTAAGATTGTTTTTCATTTCCTGGTAGCATAGATTAGATGCAGCCATTTTGACAGATTTTTATAGGAGGTCATGAAACCACTGATTTTGCTCTGTTCATTGATTTTTTACCTTGTGTGATCTCATTTCCAGAAATTATCCACAACAATATGCCTCATGACTCATTTTATTTCATTACATATTGAGCACAGATGTTTTAAAAATAGTGATTTAAAAATATGTTTATATTATTATATATAATTTGTATTTGACATTATTAACATCTTTAAAGACATTTTAAAAAAATAATTATTTAAACATATCTTCATGTTTAATAATAATAATTCATATCATAGTCATATCATGCTTAGAACTGTTACTTTAACTGGATATTTAGGTTAGTTTAATGTGAGTTACTGTATGTTGGTGGAAGCTTCTATAATTCGCTGGATTATACATGACCAAATTTCACATGTAATTGTATAGCTGTTCTTATATGCTGCTTTGCTTTTTCCTGATCTTTATCCTGATATGTATGTGTGCTGTGTTTGTGTGCTTTTATGAAATCATACGTGTATTTCTGTATGTGTTAGGGCTTTTATTTACACTGTATGCATTGGGTGCTAGGCCCATCTCTCAGCAGACAGGCTAGTGATGCTGTGGATTTAAGCGATGGCTTACCGCAAGTAAAACAGAGATCCACATTCAGTCTGAACTCCAGGGAGGGGGGATGAGTGGCGACCGACTCACCCAGTGTTGACCCACAAGCGAACACACTCTTGATGCCTCTCTGGCACGTGGGCTTGCCTGTGCATTGCGCTTTTCCAGGGCAAACACACACACATGCATGAATCAGCACAACAGCTTGTTCAGAGATCAGTGTACATCACCTTCATTGTAATGTGGCTTTGTTTCCAGATAATTTTTCAGGTTTTTAAGAGCTCATATGTGATCAGATATGTGAGCTGATAAAACAGGATAAAGTACTAATCGATAACTTTACTCTGACTCCTGACCCTTGTGATTTGTAGTTCCCGTACAATGCTCCCCCACCTCAGGAGCCGGTCAAGACCCTCCGCAGTCTCATCAACATCCGTAAAGACACTCTGCGACTTGTCAGGTGAGATTTTCCTCGCAAATATCTTTATTACACCTGACAGAGCTCTTAAAGAAATCATGTGATGAGTTCCTGTATGGATGTATTTGTTAAAACAGCACATTTGGGTGTAACATGTTGAAGAGATTGTTCCTTTTTTAAATAGCTAGCAGCAGGCTTTAGTTACGTTTACAGCCATGGGTCATGATTTGCAACTTGCTTGTTGGTTGCTACTTGTATTTTGTATCTAATTTTATAGAGCATCTGATTAGATTAAAATCTGTGTTGTGTGGGATGACCCTGTTGAAAAAAACAGCTTATGCTGGTTAGGTATGTTTTGAAGCATGGCAGCTGGTTTGAGCTGGTTTTAAGCTGGTCCTGAGTTGGTTATAAGCTGGTTATGCACTGGTTTAAGCTGGCCATGTGCTGGTCCTAAGCTGGTCCTAAGCAACTAGCTCCTGTTCAGGACCAGCTCAAAACCAGCTTAAACCAGCTCAGGACCAACTTAAACCAGCTGCCATGCTTCAAAGCATACCTAACCAGCATATGCTGTTTTTCTTTTCAACAGGGGAGCCATCAGTTTTTCCAGATGAGAAAAAAAGTAAATTTCAAATGCATATTTCAACTAAAGGTTCATTTTTTTTGTCCATTTTTTAGTTGTGCAGTAGCATTGAGATAGCTTCAAAGCTAAAAGACATGGGCCAAAAGCCACGAAAATTTTACATTTTTAGAAATATTCAGATATTTGTTTGTGTTTTATAGTCACTTGTGAACAAAATGGATGATACATTTATTAAATAATATATTATTTATCTTTCTGTGTATTAACATTTTT